CCTAAGCCGCAGCCCCTCCCCTCCCCAACACCTCTCCTCCTCCATAAGAGCTTCGCGAAGCCCTGTCGGAGTACTGCCTCTCCATCATCACCACGCCGTTGTGCTGCTGTTGGAGCCCTCTTCCTCAGCCTCTCCCTCCTCCTTGCTGGATCAAGGCGCAGGAGACGTCACCGGGCTACACGTGTGTTGAACGCAGAGGTGCCGTTGTTCGGCGCTAAGATTGGAGTCCACCGCGATCTGAATCGCTTCGAGTACGACTCCCACATCCGCGTTCTTGTAATGCTTTCGTCTCGCGGTCTTCAAGGGTATGAAGATGCACTCCTCTCTCTCGCGTTGCTAGTTGCTCCATAGATTGATCTTGGTGATGCGTAGAAAAAATTTATTTTCTGCAACGATCTCCAACAACGGGAATCGCTGACAGCCGTGGCTGCCCGACGCCCCGACCTCAGCCAGCAGGGAGAGGCGACGGGAGATTGACCAAGCGTGCGCGCCGCCACGCGGGACGGCTGCCATTGACCGTCAATGGAGACGGCTAGGTGGAAGGCGGCGAGGAGCGCCTCGCGACGGGATGGGCGCCAGTGCGACTCCTCATCCGAGCTGTACCAGGACCACGCCCACTAGTAGACAACGGAGCTATATTACCGGTTAGTAGGGGCCTTTAGAGCACGAACCGGCACTAAAGGGCCACCACGTGGCACAAGGCGCGCCGTGGTCTGGGGGACCTTTAGTCCCGGTTGGTAACACCAACCGGTACTAAAGGATTTTTTTAGTTTTTTTTTGAAATAAAACAAAAACAGCCCATCTACTGTGCGGCACGGCCTGCATACGACTAGAAACCCAACCTCTAGTTGGGCCAGGATGCAGGCCCGTACAGCTCAGTAGGGCCCGCATGGCAGAAGACTTGCAATAGGCCCACAAAGGCCTGCTTAGAGAGGAGCTCGACACGGTATCCGCGGCGGGGCTTATAAACCGGTGCGAGCTCAACTAGCGAGGTGGGACTAAACATTGTGCACTGCGGGTGGCAGTGCACCCCTTTAGTACCAGTTGGTGGCATGAACCCGTACTAAAGAGGGGGTCTTTAGTACCGGTTGGAGCCACCAACCCGTACTAAAGGCCATCACCTCTTTAGTACCGGTTCGTGGCACGAACCGGTACTAAAGGTTCACCACGAACCGGTACTAATGAGCGCCGCCCGCCTAGCCGTTGCAACCAGCACTAATGGTCACATTAGTGCCGGTTCAATTACAAACCGGGACTAATGTGCTTCACATTAGGCCCTTTTTCTACTAGTGGCCGCCTCTGACTCTGATGTGGAGCTCCTCCACGACGTCGCCGGTCTGCATCATCAACCACCATAGCTGCCATGGCCCATGGGTGAGCCACGCTGCCGGCAGCGAGCTCTCCGACGATCTCGTGAACTGTTCGACAGAATGCCAAAGAAGGGGTGGAGAGAGACGGGAGATGCTAACAAGTGGGCCTATATCAATTTAACAGTTCATGGAAACGTTGTGGGCTTTTCTTGCCATGTCATCACTTACATGCGGCCCTAGATGTCAGGTTTTCATTGAAACTGCTCTAATCATCCAATCAGCGTTTTTTGAAAACTGTCACCACAATGTTGATGGTTTTTTAAGAAAAAACTGAATGGTGGCGGTTTTCTGAATTAGGGTCCTCAGTTATGGTGATTTTTTGCAATTTACTCAAATATACACCTCCTTTTACATTCTTGATTGAGATAGCAGCTACTCATGTACATCTTTCTTCTTCCTCCGCCTCCTCCTTTTCAATATATATAAAATGTACAACCCAAAAAGCCTCCGAGCACTGCGTCATCCGTGCTCGGGGGCCTCCCAGCTTTTCTTTACGGTACAAGACTTACCCCAAAGGCCACAAATGACAGCCCGAACATTCACAATTTTTTAAAATTTACATACCTATATATGCATATGAATCATATCTTCATCTTGTTCTTCTAAAAAGTATCTTCATCTTCTGTTGTGTTGATAATCATAATTTCTTTGTTCAGTTGCTCTTGATAAGCGTCGCCGGGAAGCCGAACTGGAGGTGGCTGAACTTGTAGGTATGTCAGTACTTGTATTTAAAAAAAATCGTTTTGTTTTTTCTGTACAAAAAATAAGTTGAGAGATTGAAATGATGTCCATGTTAATGGCAAGATCATGTGGTGTTAGACTTGAACACGTACGTACGGCTGCAGGGCGCTCCGAATCAACTCGCAATCCAACCTAGAATAGACTACGGACAGACTCTATCTACACCGAGTACTGCTATAGTACTATTTATGCAACTTCATCGATCGCGCCTTCGTCGCTCTCCGTCGATCGATCGGCGCCTTCATTGCTCTCCATCGATCGGCGCCCACCCGGCCGCCAGCCATATGGACGGGACCGACGGCAACGGCATCTGCTTCCCATACGACGTGCTCCTCGACATCCTCCGCTGCCTCCCCTGCCGCCCGCTCGCCGAGTCCCGGCGCGTCTGCCGCACGTGGCGCGCCATTGTCGACGCCCCGCACTTCTTTCCCCGGAGCCCGTTCCCCGGCATCTTCACCACCAACTACGGATGCGACGATATGTCCTCCTTCTTCGCCCCGTCCGTGCCGGCGCGCTCGGAGCAACTACGTGGAGCTCACGACGGGCCTGTCTTCCGGCGTCCTCTCTTTCCGCAAGACTCCTTCTCCGTGCTCCACTGTTGCAACGGCCTCCTTCTCCTCAGGGACAGGTCAGAACGTCATCGTTATGTGTGCAACCCGGCCACGGTGCGAATCGCTAGCCTGCCGCCATTGCCGGACAAGCAGACGTGGCTATTCATCGAGGGCATGTTCCTCGCCTTTGACCCGGCCTTGTCGCGGCACCACGAGGTATTCCTCCTTCCAAGCGGAAAGATCCTGCCAGAGAAAAAGACCCAACCACAAACTTGGGTCGAGGTTAATTTGGAGCAGCTGCACCTGCCTATGTTGTTTGAAGAAGAGAACCTTTCTCAAGAAGACCAAGAGGAGATAGACATCACATATCATTTTGATTATGCAAGAGATCTTATTAATACAACACCACCATCATATGTTATCTCTGTATTGGTGTTCTCGTCACAGACCAATCAATGGGTGAACCGGGAGTTTGTGCCGGGGCATTACGCCCCTAGGAAACTCTATGACATGGTGATCGCGCCACACCCTAGTCATGTGAAAATATGGAAGTCGGCCGAGTACTGGCAGGGGTCGCTCTACGTACATTGCTGGAACCACATCCTTTTGATCCTGCGCAACTCGGAGGGGGTGTACAACATGGCCCAATTACCAGGTAAAACATACATTGATGAACACACAAGTTGGTCAAAGTTGCTCGAGAGCTCTGTCGTAGCGAGTTACGAGAGGGGGGTTCACTATGTGGCACACGACAAAATCCAACTAAGGGTATGGACACTGATAGAATCAGAAGATGGCCAGGTTGAGTGGATGCTAGCACACCAAGCAGAGCTTAGTCACGAAATACCACAATGGACAGAGCCTAGAGTGCCATGGAAGGCCATTGGAAACAACAAAGCAATTGCTAGCTTGTTTGAACCTTATAACATTGAGGATTTCATGTATGATGAGGAGGATGGCCAGAGCGACGCAGCTGATGATCGTGATGGGAACCATGAAAACGATGAAGCAAAAGACATCTATGAGGAGGATGGTGGCTTCGATGATACAGCCAGTAATGTTGATGACGATGGTCACAGTGAAGAAGATGCTGCTCACGAAGATGAAGATGACAAATGCAAAAGTGAAGAGCTCTTTGAGTCCTCTTGGGACTCGGACGAGGACAACTTCATCGACCTACATGAAAGTTCCGAAAGCATGTCACGGGATTACAAGATCATAGGATTACACCCGCATAAGGAAGTCGTGCTCCTCCAAACCCACGGCGCCGTTACGGCATATCATATTAGGACCACGAGAATGCAATATTTAGGCTATGAGCTCCTTAGGAACCCTTGCACGAATGCCCATGGCATCGGCGCCGCGTTCCCTTACCGCCCATGCTACGTTGATGCGCTTCCGGCGACTAAACTACCGTATTCCCATTATGGTTGGTGACCTACCCGTAGCGTGTAACTCGATCTACAAGGAAGAACAAGCATGGTGAAGATGGACCAAGGTTGCACATGGGCTGCATTGAGCCTTTGAGGAAGGCATGTGGGGAAGAGGGGCCACATGTCAAGCTGGATGCATGCATGATCTTTTTCCACTTGGTCGGTCAACAGATTGCAATATGTACCATCCAATTCATGTTGAATATTGAACAAATATACACCTTTTACTTACTTGATTGAGATAGCAACTACTCATTTACATCTTTCTTCCTCTTCTTCTTTCTCCTCCTCTTTTTCAATATATGTAAAATGTACAACCCAAAAAGCCTCCGAGCACCACCATGAATGGCATCATCCGTGCTCGGGGGCCTCCCAGCTTTTCTTTACGGTACAAGACTTACCCCACAGGCCACAAATGACGGCCCCAACATTCACAATTTTAAAAATTTACATGCCTATATATCCATATGAATCATGTCTTCTTCTTCTGCTGTTGTATTGATAATCATGAGGACTCTGTTCAGTTGCTCTTGATGAGCAGCAGGCCGATGCCGGTGACGATGAGCGTCGCCGGGAAGCCGAACTGGAGGTGGCTGAAGAAGGAGAGGGTATACCCGAACTGCTGGGACCGACGCGCCTGCTCGCACACGATGAGGTTCGCCGCCGACCCTAGAAGGGACAGGTTGCCGGCCACCGTGCTCACCCACGCCAAGATGAGCCACGCGTTGGTCTCTGCCGCGGGGGAGATCGCCGCCGCTGAGGCCGCCACCCGTGCGCCGAGCAGCAGGACTGCAATGAAGCACAAACACAGTGCAGAGTCTGTCAGTAGCATGTTTGGTATGTTTATGGTGCATGTAATTTGGCATGTTCAGCTGGTTCTGTTGTTCTTTAGTAGAATGAATGATTGGCCGATCTGATAGAGGTTGGGACCTGACAGTCTGGCTAGCATCTAACACATTCAGAAATAATTGCACAGCTGATCCAAAAATGAATCGTGCCATTGTTTGGTGTCCCTGATTACTTACTGCAGTCTGATTAGTTACAGTTTGGAATCATCTATGAAATTTGCACATAATTAGTTGAAATTCTATATACTTTCCATATACTACGACAGATGGCGTCGAAATGGCAGTGGAGAATGTTTTTCAGGCAATGGAAGGGGGAGAGGAACTAACCGGTCGGGACATTTGACGCGACATTGGAGAGGAGAAGGATGACCAGGGCGAGGATGACCACCCCGGTCGGCGTGTCGATCCGCGCGTAGGGCTCCATGAACTCCCAGAAGGTGCTCGGAATGCCGGTCTTGTTGAAGCCATCCACGGTGATGAACATCCCACAGAAGAAGAGCAGCAGTGGGTAGGAGACCTGAAATTTTGTTTTTCAGCAGCACCACAGTAAGCAACAATGAATAGGATGTATACACTGTAGTTCTGGTGTGAGTTTTAGTTTCAGAAAGAAGACACTGGGCAATCCAATTTGTTGTGAGCAGGTGCAAAATTCGATCAAACCATTTGAATTATTTCAATCAATTGTTGACAAAAGTTTCATTCAGGATGGGAATTGGTAAATTCATCTTGGTTCATTTTAACTGCAGACAGACACCTGTTGGTTCAGTTTAAGTGCAGACGGACAGACAGAGAGATGGTTACCTTCTCGAGGCAGGGGCGGGCGTCCTTGAAGTCGAGCACGATGAGCGCCAGGGCGGCGGTAATGGCGCTCCAGGACATGTTGAGCCCCAGCAGCAGCGCCACGAGCATGCCGAAGGTGATGGCGTACACGCACGTCTTCCACAGCCTGTTCTTCCACTCCTCGTCCATGGCCGCCTCCTTCTCCTCCGTCGAGTTGAAGCAGCAGTACTCATCCTCCTCCTTGGTCGTCACTCTGGCGGCAGAGCCACGCCTCTGGTGGATCCCGACGCCGTCGGGCGCCGCCTTGGCGTCGCCGTTGACGGAGCCAGGCTTCACCGGCTCGCATGAGCAGTGCACCTCGCAGCCGGCCGCGTCGGGAAGAACAGAGCCGTCCGGGAGGCGGCCGCGGCGCGGGTGCGACATGGTGGCCGGCGAGAAGCGGTGCGAGGTGACGTCGTCCTCCTCGACGACCTCGGCGGGGAGCGCGTCGTGGGACACGTCGACGCACTTCTCGTCGGACAGCTCCCGCCAGTAGAGGCAGAGCAGGATGGCGGCGTTGACGACGACGCCGACGAGGGTGGCCGGCAGGATGCCGAAGACGAAGTCGCCGAAGGAGATGCCGCTCTGCACGGCGATGACGAGGTTCTGCGGGTTGCCGATGGGGGTGGCGGCGGAGCCGATATTCGCCGACGAGGCGAGCGCGAGCAAGAACGGCTTGGGCGGGAGGTTGTTCTGGCGGGCGATCTTGAGGATGAACTCGGTGAGCACGACGCAGCAGGTGTCGTTGGTGAAGAGCGCCGACGCGAGCGCGGAGACGGCGCAGGTGCGGAGGAGGAGGTCCTTGCCGCCCTGGCTGCGCCACGAGAGCGCGCGTCCCAGGTGGCGGAACATGTCGGCGCGCTCGAGGTAGACGCTGACGACCATGGTGCCGAAGAGGAGGCCGAGGATGGGCAGGTCGACGGCGGCGTAGGCCTCGTCGGCGGTGATGACGTTGAGGAGCACCATGAGCATGGCCCCCAGCAGCGACCCCGCCGTGCGGCCGATGGGCAGGAAGGGCACCGCCGGGAACACGGCCAGCACCCAGAAGATGCCGAACGCCGCCGTCCCCAGCGCCACCTTCACCGCCGGCTCCATCGCCATTATATTGCCCCCCAAGATCCAATTTCTACACTAGTGAATCTGCAAGAATCTCCTCTCGTCGTTCGAGATTCGATCCAAGAAGAGCGAGCGACCTAACTAACGAATCCTCCACCTAGAAAGAAAGAAATCTGCAATCTGTGGCCTAGCAAGCTACGAACAGGAGCTAAGATCTGCAACCACCGGCTCGCAAGAACAGAGCTGGACAAGAAGCGGAGCGAGCTCCAACCAACTAATGGTGGGGGCGCAAGCGGCGATAATCATGCACGCACCAACAGCACGTACGTACCAATCTCAGCTAGAAGCCACCAGCCTCATCAGCTAGAAGCCTCCATCTCCATGGATGGATCCTCCCCAAGAACACGAGTGAGGAGGAGGAGGGGGGAGCTGGTCTGCTCGTGGAGCTCGTGGAGAAACTAGTCGCCACTAGGTGAAGAAGTTAACAATGGAACACTTGGCAAGGAGGCATTGACCACTTGGCGAGCTCCACATGGCCTCCTAGTAGATTGCCCGCCATGGATATTATTTCCCTGCCGCTCTCCCCACCAGTCGATGCGACGGACAGGGAGATGTCTGCAACCAAATGAGGAAAATATTTTCTGTATTTCCAGAAACAGAGAAATAATATCTTCACATGCGGAGCTGGACCAACTCTGCCCCGGTGCTCTCACCGCATCCTCACATGCATGGCCATGATTAATGGTGATGCTGTTGAGAATGAACAATGGAGGTGGACCGGCCTTGGATTTTTGTGGCGCCGGGAATAAGATACATTTTTTTGCATCACTCTTTCTGTTCTTGTTTCCCTCCTTAAACTAGGATTACCACTGGGCTTTGATTTCGGCTGGGCAATGGTGCATGACAAGGAGAGGTGAAAAGTTATAGTACTGGCACAAAAAGACTTGCTCTTGACTTGGTGGTAGAGAATGATTAGGGTGGTAATTAGTGAGGTCACTTTCACCTTCGGCTGGCACAAAATTGACAGGTTGATTAGCCACAGAAGTAACTGTCTTGGATATTATTCTCTTTTTTTGAAGGGGTCTTGGATTCTATTCTATTACCAGAGAGGTAACTGTCATCCTTGGATACCATTCTATTACCAGAGAGGTAACATTTGGTATCACTACTAGTCTCCTACTAATGTAGGCCTCACAATGATTAACCGGCGAAAATCACGAGAACACCGTCGGGCCCTGAGACGGCGATGGAGATGGAGATGGAGATGGAGGTGTGCACGCGTTCACCGGGGGTGGCGCGACGGCGAAGGGAGAGGGGGGGAGCTGAATTAGATTATTGATTGCTGATGTGGAGGGTGGTGGGATGGGATTTGGGTTGGTTTGGTTATGTTTGGTGCCGGATCAACGTTATCCGTCACTTGTCTGAACCCTCAGCCATGCACAACCCCCATGTTCCTGTCCTTAATTAATTGATCATCACCACCTTAAAACTAATAATGTCCTGTTGCTTCTCCTTAAACTTCACCTTATTGATGATCATGGAGAGGGAGGGGAACAGTTCTAATGATATTTCCTGCTTCCTGCTGCGCCGGCTCGCTTTCGACGGGATGTGGATTGGTCGAGATGCTGACCTATTGGGCCCACCAGGAAGAAGAAGAGGAGAAAAATATCACCACATGATTGATGTATCACAATGAAGCTTGGTGCCACCTAATGTACTCCTGTTGCCACCTGGCCGGCCTACACTAATCAATCCTACAAGCTCACCTCCACATTTTATTTTATTTTTGGGGTTAGGACCCAAGATTGACACGATCATCAAAAATTGTCCCCCGTGTTAGTACGACGGGACGAGATGAGAACCGAACTCGTTGTCGTCCGCATATTATTGTTGTTGTTGTTGCTGCCGCCGCCGTTGTTGTTTGCTTCTCCAAAGACATACATTTTTCTCTCTCTCTCTCTCTCCTTTTAACTGGTTGAGACTGACTCTGTGGTGTAATGGCACCCCTTGACGATTCTTGGGGGTCATGATATTTGGTTATTACTAGTGTACCATTACTGCCGTTTCGTTATCTCCTTGTGATATCTCTGGTGGTTCATCTCATGCGTCAGACAGTAGTAGCTTCCGGCTAGAGATTTGCAGACTTCTCCAAGAGGGGGAAGGCCTCTTTCAGGATCTCTCTTTTTCTTTCTGTCATTTTGGTCTTATTCAGGTTCTTGCAAACTGAAGCAGAACAACATATATATCACCCCAGAAAAGTTAAATTGAAGAGCCGAATTGCTGCGCACCGTCACAAAAATATCAACATTGGCGCCATTGCCGACCTCTGTGCACTCCTTGGATGGTGCCAGGCAAAATATTGGCATCAGAAACATGGTTCAACCAAGGCACAGCCTGGATGATAACATGATCCTTCTTGTAATTTCTATGTTATCACCAACAGGAACAGAAGATTCATGCGATGAACATCAGACTAGTGCTTTCTGATGCCTATCCCCAATCAATCAAACGGCAGAATAGTAATTCCTCATGTGAGATGAGCATCAGGGCACAATATGGCTCCATCTGACGATGCTGCTGAGACGAAACAGTTCTACAATTCTGGCTAGGTTTATTATGTACATACATAAACAGCATCATCAGTCCAACAGCAGCAGCAAGCGAGTTAAAAGAGGATTACAACACACGCTACGACGGTAAAAGTATTTGCGTCTTGGTTTTATAACGACGACGACGACGACAATAACAACAACATCAACAACAACACATGGGGGGAGGGTTCCAGGATCTGCATGCATCACCACCTTTGGTCTCTTTATATGAATGATGATTAGCTGGACACTGAATTACTTACCACTATATCTAACCTTTTAACTTGCCACTACAACCTGAATGTTTGCATAGGTTTTGGCGTCTCCTGCAGTTTTAAGATGGCGCCTGGGGAACGGGGCAACTGTTGCAGGAGCAAAAGAAGCAAAAAGAAACTTGTATCTTCCTGTTGTAAGGTTATGGTCAGTGCGGCGGTTAGCTGACCCCTGGCTGCGCCACTGGACGGAAGGACCAGCTCTTCCTTGGCTCAGTTGTGATCGCGGCCACCTTCTCGTTGGCCCACCAGTCGGACCCGAGCGCGCCTGTCTCCTCCACATGAGGGGCGTCGACGTTGCTGAACTTGAACTCTTTGGCCAGACGGAGGGACAGGGAGCGCCGTGCTTTCTCAGGCAGGTCATGGTATGTTTCATCAACGTACAGCCCTGCCCTTGTTTCATTGGATTCTCTGGAGTGATCCCCAGTATTGCTGGATGGAAGGTGGAAAGATGATGCAGCAGATTCTCCAGCGGTCTTCTTCTCCAGGCAGCGGGCGACATCCTCTACTGTCAGCTCGAATGAGACCCGGTGATCCATAGCATGATCATTGTTTTGAAGTCTTGCAGAGAAGTCCACGACCGGTACAGCTGCTGTAATGTGGCCATCCAAAAGGGAGCCGCCATTCCTCATATGGCGAGGTATCAACTTCTGTGTAGCAATGCCCTCGCCATCCAGGATCTTTGGGGGCTCACGAACTGGGAAGGAGGGGAAAGTGCTGTGTGAGGAAGTCTGCAGCTCAGGGTCAGGGAATGGGGAGCAGGTGCCAGAACAAGCAGAGCTTGGAGATATGAGACGCCCTATTGGGCTCTCAGGGTACATATGGTATGAGTGGAGTTCACCCCTTTCCCCATTCTTGCTGCTGTTGAGTGAAGTCAGAAGCTTTGCATATGGCACCTCAGGCGAGGAAGGGGTTGTCAGATGAACAGACTCTGGTGGGGGAGTGAAAGGAGCTGTTGAAGGTTCAGTTGTGAAGGCTGAGAAGATTGGAGGGGAGACTACCTGTGTCTCATGTGCATATGGCCCAATAGCAAAGATGGATGGAGGACCTGTGGGTGACGGAGAGTTTGGCGAGCGAGGCGAAAAAGATGGAGGGCCCATTGGTGATTGTATAATAGATGCAGATCCTGATTGGAGGAAAGAGGCGGGCGATGATGGAGGTGCAACAAAGGGGAAGACCTGGGGAGGTGGATGATTTGGAATTTCTGGTGCCGGCGCATCTATCCTCTGAGATGCAGATTCTGGGACAAGGACCGCATGGCTGATGCGCCGGTCATTCTTTTGAGCTCCAAAGCAGAAGTATGCGCTCAACCAATCAGTCCATTTCCTTCTCTGCAAATGAACAACACTGCTCATTAGTACAGAAACAAAGAGTTGCCACTATGCAGTCTTTAAACAAAGGATATAGCATGTGACAGCATAAAATGTTCATAAATAAACAAGGCACCTTAATAAAGTATGAATTGAAGAGTTCAATGCCTATGTATAATCAGGATCATGTGCACTTTTCTCAGACATATACATTCTATACTAAATTGTTTCCCTTAGCTCCTCAGTATAATCAACAACAATATGCAACTTCTCTAAGAAAACAGAGACGATATACAAGCCATGCTACACAATTCCTGTAAAAATCAAAGCAGTCATGGGTGAGATGAAAGATAGAGAAGTGAAACATCATGCTGCTTAGCATGAAACTAACCGAAAAAATAGTAGAAGTAAATCATACAAGTGACTCAAAATTACAACAGATAGCTCAGCCAGATGGAGTAGTAAACAAGGGAGAAACCATAATTCCAGCCACAACTGTAACGTAAAGATACCACATACTTGTTTTCTTCTATTTAGCTAGCCCTCACTTACAGTCACAGGGTTGAAATCATAGCTCCACTACAAAGGGATCTCACATCAGCAAGTGCCGGCTGCTATTGTAATAAGACGGACACTAGGAATACTCATTTGTTTCATGTGGTCCAAGCTAAAAGTACTGGAGAGTAGCAATCATAGGTGCACCACATTACCTTAATTTTTTTCATGAACAGACAAAACTGTGACTAACTAACATAACAGGACGAATGCCTAAACAGCAGGCCATGCATTAAAAAAGGGAGTAACTAACGCCAGGGATTAAAAACCGAAATAATAGCTGGTGGCATATCGCCAGCTAGGAGAGAATATTTTTG